TGGCTGAAAGTGAAAGTTTAAAGTTTCTCTTTTATCTTTAGTTTTTTATTTTTATTTATTTTTTATTTCATCATATTATGGGGATACAAACCTTTAGGTTACAGATATTGCCTTTACTTCACCCGAGTCAGAGCTTCAAGCATGTCCATCCCCCAGACAGTGGGCACAGCACCCATTAGGTGTGAATACTCCCATCCCCTCCTCATGGGCTGATATGTAGATATCTAACATTAACAGAACATAATGTGGAATTTAATAGTAGGATCCTAACATGTTATGTGGGATAAGAGAAAAAAGAGGTTAAGTCCGGTTGGAGCAACTGGTGAAAATTTTCATGAGGAGATGATATATCAAGCTGGAATTTGAAGTGTTAAGTAGAAGGAAATAGTACAACTCCAGTGTGAAGGACAGTATGAGTAAAGGTGTGGAGCGAAGAAGGGCACGGTGTTGGAGGCAGTAGATGAGTCTGAAATAAAGGGTAAACTGAGGGGATGGTAGGACAAAAGGTTGGAATAGCACATTGGGGCAAAATCACGAACCTCCTTGAGTGCCATGCTGAGGAGTTTGACAACAGAGAATCACCAGTGTTCTAAGGAGGGAAGGGATGTAGACAAAATCTAAATTGGATTGGCTGAGAAAGATTATGATAACAAGGTGAAAATTAAATTTTAATTAGGCAGAGGTAGTGGGCAGGGAGAACAGGGAAAGTTTTTTTATAATAGCATAGAACAAACTGACACAAAAGGAACTATGTATGTTGTTAAGAGAAAAGGAAAGAGCATGTGTGTGTGTGTGTGTGTGTGTGTGTGAGAGAGAGAGAGAGAGAGAGAGAGAGAAAGAGAGAGAATGAGAATTGCATGAGCAAACTTTAGAACTTTGGGGTGGGAGCAGCATAAACCTAGAAATGGCAATGTGCTGAGTTTGGGACAAGTTGGTTAAGGTCTTTTTCAGTCATCCCTTGGGAAGAAAAGTACTAAACATTCGAGGCTAAGAATGTGTAAAAGAAAATACTCTAAGAGTAACTATGTAAGTCTATAAAGTGTGTTACTGATTGCTAGAGTGCTGGCTCGCTGTCAGAGACATTGGGCAAATCACTTTAATCTGAATTTATATTTCTTCGAGTTGAACTAAGAAGCCAACCTTTTTCTCAAGGGATAATATGATGGATTTTATGATCTTCATCTGTGTTCAATTACCCTATCAAAGAAAAGGATTTTCTTGATACTTCCATCTTTCTCATACCCCCATATATGTATCACTGCATCTCTGATCTCTTCATCTGAACTACTCTGGACTCCTTCCCCCCTTCCTTTATGCATGCCCACTTCTCTTTCATGTCAATTCCAGGCTAGACTACAATTCTTTTGAACTCCTCCAAATATATAGGATGCTGCTGCTTTGTTATATGGATAATTGTTTTTGTACAAAAAGGCAAACAAGGAGGCTTCTCCTCCTGCCTGTTTTAAAGCAAATCACAAATATCGTGATGTACTCATGTGCAGAATACTATGGGTCATAGCTATGGGTAGCTGATGGATTGTAGGTTATTTGATTCAATTGTGCTTAAGAACTGTTTACTGAGGCTAAAGTCACTTGAGGGCTGGAATTGTGTTGGACACTGAGGATAAACCAGAAAACTAAACAAACACAGTCCTTGACCTTATGGAGCCTACAGCCTAGGAGGGAAGGCAGACATTTAAAAATGACTACTTAAAAAGGGACAAATTTCACAATGGATGTATAGGAGACAAGGGACTCAAGAATTTAGGGATACATAGTAACAAATATTTCAGTAATTTGACAGAATTTTAATCTATGTCATTGAAGCTATATGATAGAATATCTAAGTTGGTGAATGCTCGTATATTGATTTAAAAGATTACATTTATGACAAATGTACACAATATAAGTAACTGATCTAGCAATGTATAATCTTGATAATGATCAATGGAGAAATTTTAATAACTAAGTAACTTGCATTTAGCATAGTAACTTATTAAAACCTGGAGGGGGTATTTCAATACACTCTCCCTCAGGGTTGAGCTATCAGTAACCTATCTTTAAATATCAAGTAAGGAGGGGTGTCAGAATTAAGGTATATGTTATAGACCCAGTGCATATGCCACCCTTCTTTTATTTTTTTTAATTATTTTTTATTTTAGCATATTATGGGGGTACAGATGTTTAGGTTATGTATGTTGCCCTTACCCCCCCTGACTCCTAAGTCAGAGCTTCAAGCGTGTCCACCCCCAGGATGGTGCACATTGCACTCATTATGTATGCATATACCCATCCCCTCCTCCCCCCCACACCTGCCCGAAACCCAACAAATGTTATTCTTATATGTGCACTTATGTGTTGATCAGTGAAACCAGTTTGCTGGTGAGTACATGTGGTGATTATTTTTCCAATCTTGGGATACTTCACTTAGTAGAATGTATTCCAGCTCTATCCAGGAGAATACGAGAGGTGCTATATCACCCTTGTTTCTTATAGCTGAATAGTACTCCATGGTATACATATACCACATTTTATTGATCCACTCATGTATTGATGGGCACTTGGGTTGTTTCCACATCTTTCCAATTGTGAAACTACATGTATCAACTACCCATGATTCCAGATTAAATAAAGTAGTTCATCTTCTCATAAGTCCAA